CCGTCGGCGGGTCCAATTTTGTGTCTTTCTATCTCTGTCTCTCAACCGGCCAGCCAGCCAGCAGTTAGGTATTTGACTGTGCAGAAACGCATCACGATGAGAGTAAGAGTATCCACAGTGGACAAGAGTTCAACATATGTATTGCATTGCATTGTATCAAATTGACCATGATTAGCCTCAAGGTGCTTTGGTATATTCGATGCTCTACACACTGCTGTGAAGTCATAAGATTTAGATTTTAGACTAATTTTCTCATATGGTGAGTTTCTGATACCCAGCTAAGTTGCTAATCTTATCTCTCTGTGGTGAAAAGGCCCACCAGAGTTTCCACAGAATTATTAATAGTCTGGGAACAAGTTATTTTCAGGGGAAAAAAACCCCAAAACAATTTGGTTGACCATGAATAATTCTCCATATATCTTTGTGTTGTCAGATTTTTAGTTGATGCAGTTCAGGAATTTACAAGAATGATACTGCCTAATAATAATCCCTCCAAAACAAAACAATAATAAATTTTCATTCCACGACTGTTTGTCGGACACTGATGTGTGCAATTGGCTGCCACGTTTCGCCCACAAATATACGGTCAATTCACCTTACAGACTATTCTGTGAAGCGCTTTGAGACGTCGAGAAGACGTGAAAAGCACTATATCAAAAGCAAGGATTATTATTATTGCACATAGAAATTTCCTTGCATTGTGAGACATAGTTGTGTGCAATTGGCTGCCATGTTTTGCCCCCAAAATATACAGTCAATTCACTTTACAATATATATTGTGAAGCATTTTGAGATGTCTCAATGACACGATAAGGCGCTACATCAAATGCAAGGATTATTAATATTATTAAATGTTTTTATTCAGCAAGGCAAGAGCACAGTTGTTCCATTTGATACACCTTCTAGTCAAGAATATTTATTGATAGAAGTAAGTAGAGATTTTGCTCCATTCATGAGCTGTGGATTCTTAAAAAAAATTTCAATTGCAATGCAAGCTCAATGACCTTGTATCCTTTTATCCCATTCTCCAGCACATCAATCAGTTGTTAAGCTCTCATAAAATACCTTTGAATGGATTAATGTAAAAATGGATGTCTCAACTGACTTCATCAGCACATATGGTTACAGCGATAGAATTTCCCTGGTGTCTGTAGATGGCTAATAAAATCTACTTAGGTTTTCTTGCTGTAAATTACTGTGCTTTACGGGCTTTCAATGCAAAAGCTTCACATGTCAAAATGTTAATAATTTAGTGTCACTGGAATAATGAATTCTTGATAAGACCAAATTTTGAACAAGTTTTTTTGTTTGTTAATTTGCTCATTTATCGGTCTATAATGTTAGCTCCAAGTGATTACTTTCACACGAGGTGCAGAAATCCTGGGCTGAAATTTATGAGGTGTGATGCGGTAATTATCACATCACTGAGAAATACAGTTGAGGCAAGATTAAAGACTATTTGCAAGTGTGGTTTTCACTGCACCTCCCAACTTTGGCACAATGATTGGACCAGAAGCCAGCTTGTGGTCTGCATTCAAGTTGTCAACAATGGGTCATCTTCATTCAGAGACTCGATGCAAAAGTATGCGAGATGCTATCACATGAGAAGGGCCTACATAAATGCAAGTAGTTGTAGTTAAATTTTCAGAGGTAAATAACTTTTGAAACAGGTTGCCAAGAAGGAGGATTGAGGCCAAGATATTGGACTAATTTGAAAGCAGCTTGATGCTGTGATGGTTGGATGGGTGTTCTTGAAGGATGAGTTTGGATGAGTCGAAGGGCCTTCTTCAACTAAACCAATGTCGTGATCTTTTGATCTGAGTGCTGGTTTGTGGGATACCAGCCTGTTTATCAGGCTGCAATCCCATGACCTAGCTTTTAAAATGCTGTCAAGTCCAATAGCTGGGTAACATTGGAGAAAAGTCAGAAATTATGCGTATAGATCATCAAAAAACAATAATAAATTGGTCATTTTCAATCTATGACTGTTTGTGGGACATTGCTGTGCGCAATTGGCTGCCGCATTCGCCCACAAATATACAATCATTCACTCTACAGTGTGTTCTGTGAAGCGCTTTAGGACGTCCTCCCGATGTGAAAAGCGCTATATCAAATGCAAGGATTATTATTATTATTATTATTCTGTGAAGCGCTTTGGGAGGTCTAGAAGACTTGAAAAGCGCTACATCAAATGCAAGGATTATTATTATTATTATCATTAATTATTTGTTAGTTTTCCTGCATTTATTAACATATAATAATTTTCACCAGTGTTCTTAGGCTCTTCTGATAACCATGTCTATTAGTAATATGTCTGTCGATGTTAAAACACTGTTATTGTAAATCCCAACCATCTGTGAGATCTGAAGTAAAAGCTAACTTACAATCTTGTAGTTGTTGCTAAGGCAACACACCTTTGGGTTCCACAAGTTCTGAAGCTATCAGTGGGGTTGAAAATGTGTTCTTCAGAAAACGGCATTGAAGATACTGAAGAAATGTGCCTCAGATGTAAAGTGTTTCTCATCCATGGTGTCCCATGTACAGCTGCTCCAAGGATTCGTGCGTCAGCGGTATGATGTTCACAGTAGTCTTTGCAAGAGGCTCCCTTTAGACCCCCAAAAATCCACTTCATCTTAATGAATCCTAAGTAAGATCATTATGTCTTAAAAATTTTAATTGTTTAGAAATCTTAATTTCAGTCTGTGTTTGGAAGCTGTTCTTTTTAACCGGCTTATAAATAAAGACTGAATTTAAGAATGTTCTACAATTCTGCATGATCTTAAGTTTTAAGACAAAATGATCTTATAGGTTTAGACTAGGAAGAATTTTGAATCCTTTATGTCCCAAGGTGCTTTTTGTAATATTGAGACATTATTACTCTACCATTTCTGAATTTTGACATCTGTTCCACTGAATGAAGGATGTATCAGGTAAAGTCTTTAAAAAGACTCCACGCTGATGTCAGTGCCTGTACCTGTATGCAGACTGTCTGGCTTTCATTTCAGCTTCATTTTTCATAACTTAAGAGTATGCTTAAGAGTATCCAAGCCAAACTGTGAGTTCCATATATCCCACCCATACATGGAAATTCCCGTGTATTGCAATGTAATGAGCACTCTCTCTCCCTGGGGGGACACAGCAGAGAGTATCAGGCTGAGCTAAAACATGGGGATCTCAGAGTGTGCATTGGGAGTATTATTGCCATTGAAAGCATTGTCTGGCAGCTTTCTCCCTGCTTTTCCAGTTAGACCAACCTACTCATTTGGATTTTAGCTTATAGTGTTAATAGGTGCTGAGTGAGAAGACTGGTGACTGGTCTGCCCCTCAAGGACCTATCGATGAGCCAGGCCGACAGGACTGTTACTAGGAGCCCGCTTGGCTAAGAAACCAAACTACAAGGACCGCCACAGTGGGCTGACTCGATTCTGACATTCCCATTGCCAAACATGTCAGTTGGAGCCAGTTCAGCTCCAAGGAGACCCTGCTTACTTCCCCACAAGGAGGATAGTCACTAGTTGGTCATTTGGCATCCGACAAGCCCAGGTTTGATCCCTCACTAAATGGAGAGCAGACATCAGGAACCTCCTGGTGAGCAGCATGTCTCAGTATATGTGTTAGAGCATTGCTGCTACCTTCCTGTGTGGACACAGAGGAAGATGGTGGCAAAGCTCTCATGCATTTCATGCTATGTTGAGGACTCTGGGTTATCTTCTTACAAATAAGATAGAATCCACTGATATTCAAACCCCACAAGATCACAAGAGAAGCTCAGATGAAGATAACCCTGATTTTATCCGTCCAGAATACTCACTCTGCCACCTTCCCACCAAACCATTGAGCTTTGTTAAAAAAAGATTTTAGTGTACTGGCTTCAATTACTTTTCCTGGTAACCTGTTCTAGTCATTAATTACTTTCTGGGCAATTGCACTTTGCAACTCTAGGTGTTAATATAGTTGTATTTTCCTCTGCCAAAGAAATACTTCCTGGTGTCTGTCCTGAAATTGCTCTTTGTAACTCTAAACTTGTGTCCACTTATTCTGCTGTCTCAATGCATTGAAAATAATTGTTCTGCCCTTACTTTCTCAATTCCATTTGAAATGTAATATACCTCTATAAGATCATGTCTGAGATATCTCCTTTCAAGACTGAAGAGCTCAAGCTTGTCTAATCATTACTCAAAGCTCATTCCTCTAACACTAAGGATCATTCTCATTGATAGTTTAGTGATTGTACAGTCCTAGTCCATCCTTCAGCAGTGGAATACACGTAATTATTAACACTAACTGCAAACATTTATAACCTGCTGGTCGCCAGTACCACCTGGTATGTTGTCATGTTGTCGTTTCAGTAGGATCACCCACATATAGAAGCTTGTCTCAAAAGCCAAGAAAAAGGAACAAAATATGTTACTGAATAATTGAGTTGTCAGTATGTTTTAAAACTTTTATCATAAATCTAAAACTAAACAATTCATATCTGTAGAACAATCTTTATAATGTCAAAATAAGGGTACATTGAGAAAAGTTGTCAGTCTTTAGACGAACTCATGGTGATCACAAGATTAGTTTGGATGATTTGATTTCATCCTTTTAGAATAGCTGACCAACCAAACGTTCATCACAGCATCAAGCTGTTTCTGAATGAGTCCAGTGTCCTGACCTCAACTATCCTTCCTGATAACTGTTCCAGCTGTTAATTGGCGTCTGTGTAAAGAAATACTTCCTAATATCTGTCTTGAAATTGGCCTTTGCAACTCAAAATCTGTGACTTCTTGTTCTGCTGTCCTGGCATCTTGTAAACAGCAATCAGTAGGTTGTGAAGGGTAGTTTAGTGAAGAGCTCTTAGATGCTTATCATACCAAATCAGTTATAAAGGCATTGCATGATTCACTTAATTGTGGGAAAAGGACAAAAAGCACTCTTAAATCTGTTGGGGTTCAATGTTTATTTCTAAATGTTAAACTCACTCCTTACTACATGTTAATTTTCTTTCTTTGCAGGACAGCTTTCCCTCACGTTTTGGAGGAATTCATTTTGTGAATCAGCCCTGGTACATTCATGCTCTTTATACTGTCATTAGGCCCTTCCTTAAAGAGAAGACCAGGAAAAGGGTGAGACAAATATGTTTACCAACATTTTTGACAAACACTTGTACATCCTCTGCTCTAGACACTGAGAGCCATTTAGTAATGTTCTGTTTCCCTAGGTTTTCTGTGGGATGTAGTTTGAGACAGTTCTGAACACAGAAACAAAATAACCTGAATTTACAGAAATACATTTTGTTCAGTCTATTTTGTTTTTATTGCAATGTCAAATATTGGGAATTATTTATTCTAACAAACATTGATGGTTTCCACTGAGCTTGCTAGTCTGCAGATTGTGACAGCGCTGATTAGTGAGTCCCTGGATTTACTCTTATTTAATTTTGTTGAGTTAAGCTAACCAGCCAACCTACTCCATCGGTCTGCAACTCCATGTTTTAACTTCAAGCTCAATCATTTGCAACAGAGAATATTGGAGGAGACGAAAGGGGGGAAATCAAGCTCATAGCCAGGTGATAATCTGTGACCTGGGTTCGATTCACGGCAGGGTGATACCTTGGGCAAGTTTCCTTACTCCACACCCCTGATAATAATCCCTCAAGAAAAAAATAATAATTTGTTCAACAACAACAACAACAACAAGATTCTATTTATAGAGCGCCTTTCACGTCGGGAGGATGTCCCAAGGCGCTGTACAGTTGGGTCAGGACCCGAGCAGGGGGGAAATGGTCAGGGTGAGGGGAGGGAAGGGAGGGAGCGAGGAGGGGGTAGAGAGTCGAAAGGGGAGCTGAAGGCACGGTCAAAGAGAAAGGTCTTGAGACCGGCCTTGAAGGAGGAAAGGGAGGAGGCAAGGCAAAGGCACTGGGGGATAGAGTTCCAGAGCTTAGGGGCTGAGAGGCTGAAGGGCGGTTGGGGCGGGGGATGTGGAGCAGACCGGAGCCAGAGGAACGGAGGGTATGGGCAGGTAAGTAGGGGGATAGTAGGTCAGAGTGGTAGGAGGGAGCAAGGCCGTGAATGGCCTTGTAGGTGAGGATGAGGATCTTGAATTCGAATCCACAATCCACAACTGTTCGTGGGACACTGCTGTGCCCAATTGGTTGCTGCGTTTCAGCCACAAAAATACAGTCGATTTAATTTACAGTATATTTTGTGAAAAGCACTATATCAAATGCAAGAATTATTATTATCATAGAATCATAGAATCGTACAGCACAAAAAGAGGCCATTCGGCCCATTGAGTTTCTGCCGGCTCTTCGAATAGAGGATTTAATGTCAATCCCACTCCCTAGCCTTTTCCCCATAACCCTGCAAACCCATTCTCTTCAAATACCCGTCCACCGCGTTTTTAAAAGTAGTTATTGAATCGGCCTCGACCACCCTTTCAGGCAATGCGTTCCAGATTCGAACAACTCTCTGCGTGAAAAAATTTCTTCTCACCTCCCCTCTGCTTCTTTTAGAAACTATTTTGAATCTGTGACCTCGAGTCACCGACACACCCACCAGTGGAAACAGTTTTTCCCTTTCTAACCTATCAAATCCCCTCATGATTTTGAAGACCTCTATTATGTCTCCTCGTAACCTTCTCTGCTCCAATGAGAATAATCCCAGCCTCTCTAGCCTTTCCTCATAATCAAGGCCCCTCATTCCTGGTACCATTCTTGTAAATCTCCTCTGCACCCTTTCCAATGCATTAACATCCTTCCTCTAGTGTGGTGCCCAGAACTGGGCGCAGTATTCTAACTGAGGCCTAACCAGTGTTTTATATAGGTTAATCATAACCTCCTGACTCTTCTACTCTATGCCCCTATTTATAAAGCCTAGTATCCCATATGGCCTTTTTACAGCTTTATCTACCTGTCCTGCCACCTTCAAGGATTCATTTACCTGCACCCCCAGGTCTCTCTGTTCTTTTACCCACCCTTAAGATTGTATTACCAGCCTATATTGCCTCCCCTCATTCTTTCTACCAAAATGCATTACCTCGCATTACTCCACATTGAAACTCATCTGCCATGTGTCTGCCCATTTTACCATTCTGTCTATGTCTTCCTGCAGTTGGCTACTATCCTTCTCATTGTTTACCACCCCACCTAACTTTGTCTCATCCGCAAACTTGGAAATGATGCTTGCTATACCCAACTTCAGATCATTTATGTATATTAAGAAGAGCAGTGGTCCTAATACCGATCCCTGGGGGACGCCACTGTACACTTCCCTCCAGTCAGAAAAGCAGCCGTTCACCACAACTTTCTGCTTTCTGTCTCCCAGTCAGTTCTGGATCCATACTGCCACTCTCCATTAACCCATATTCTTCTAAGTGAAGATTTATTCTGTCCCGGATTATAGTCTCCAGGAGTTTCCCCACTACTGATGTTAGGCTGACTGGCCTGTAGTTCCTAGGTTTATCCTTCTGTCTCTTTTTGTACAGGGGAGTCACATTGGCCATTCTCCAGTCCTCTGGCACCACTCAACAAAGATTGAACAATTGTAGCCAAAGCCTCTGTTATTTGTACCCGTGCCTCCCATAGTAATCTTGGTTGCATCCCGTCCGAACCGGGCGACTTATCTACCTTCAGCGTAGTCAACTTTTTCAGTACTTCCTCTCTGTTTATACATATCCTATCCATTTCCTCTACCCTCTCCTCTGATACTGCAGCATTTGGTGCATCTACTTCTTTTGTGAAGACAGATGCAAAGTACTCATTCAGCACATCAGCCATGCCCTCTGCCTACACAATAAGATTTCCCCCTTGGTCCTTAATTGGCCCCACATTACCTTTGACTAGCCTTTTATTCTTGATATGCTTGTAAAATATTTTAGAATTCCCTTTAATGTTATCTGCTAACGTTTTTTCGAATAATCTTTTTGCCCCTCTTATTTCCTTTTTCAAACCTCTTCTGCACTTCCTATATTCTATATGGTTGTCTTCTGTATCTTGGGTTTGACACCTGTCATACGTCTCCTTTTTCTGCTTCATTCTAGATACATTTTCCTTCGTCATCCAGGGAGGTTTCGAAGCTCTACTTTTCCCTTTTGTGGGAATGTATTTATTCTGTCCCCGAGCTATCTCATCCTTGAAGACTTCCCACTGCTCTTTAGTTGTTTTACCTGCCAATCTTTCTTTCCAGTCCACCTTGGCTAGGTCCCTTTTTAACTCACTGAAATTTGCTCTCTTCCAGTTGAATATCTTCACCTTAGATGGTTCCTTGTCTCTTTCCATATGCACTCTGAATCTAATGATGTTATGATCACTATTGCCCAGATGCTCTCCCACTGAAACCTGCTCCACTTGCCCTACTTCATTCCCCAGAACTAGAGCTAGCACTGCTTCCTTCCTTGTTAGGCTGGAAATGTACTGATCAAGAAAGTTGTCCTGTATGCATTTTAGGAATATTTCCCCCTCCTTGCCCTATTGCGCTGTTGTTTTGCCAGTCTATAAAAATTATAAATTAGAGCAAACATTTTCTATAGCATATTAATTGTCACATTAACCCTCAAAATCCTATCCTTTTTGAATGGTCATACACCCTCCATCAGGTGCTTTAGATTCAGCTAAGTCCTAAATATGGACTGTTCTAAATACTGTGGGAGAAAATAACTTGTTATTTTGCATTTGTTAGAGAATTTATAGAACCTGGAATTTGTTGCTTATAATGGGATTTTCCTACCAGAAGCACACACAGTAAGAGTAGTAAATTTATGATGAAGTGTGGAATGACCCCCGGGTAATGCAGCAGGTTAGATATTGCCCTTTTACAACCCTGCATGAACTAGTTTGTAATCCAGCCCAGACTGGGAACAGGAGTCTCCTCTCTGATGACTCTACAGAGTCCTATCTGTGTTTTTGGTTGCATTGTTAACCTTTGCTGTGAACCTTGGCACACCACACAACAGCAACAATGTGCACTTACATAGCGCCCTTCACATAGGAGAATGTCTTAAAAACTTTAACAGAGATGGAATGAGAGCTGAACAAGTTTGGAGATACGGGGTAGGCAGGCGGTGGCTGAAGGTAGTCAAAACAATTGTTTTTTAGGTAGTTTTTGAAAGCAGGGAGGGAGAGAAGGCATTAGGATTCAGGGAGAGAAATCCAGAAAATAGGGTCAATGTGATTGAAAGCTAGCCACAGATGGTGAGGGAAAATGGATGGGGAACATGAATTGGAGGGAGAAGATGAGTGAGTACAGTTGAGTTGGAGGGAGAAGATGAGTGAGTACAGTTGAGTTGGAGGGAGAAGATGAATGAGTACAGTTGACCTCGGACCACCTTGAGAATGATCCAGAGTAACAGATTGGAAACTGTTTAATTTACCAGGCACTTCCATCCCGCACGTTGGTGAGCAAATCTTTGTTTTAAACAAAAAATGACAGATTCTAATACTGCCAGAGATTATTATTAGTGAAATGATGCATTGAGTTATAATTACATACTCTTTTTGGCAGTCTAATATTTCTGTGCTTATCGCTCCACTATCTTTTTAGATATTTATGCATGGAAATAATCTAAACAGCCTTCATCAGCTCATTCACCCAGAGATCCTGCCTTCAGAATTCGGGGGGATGCTGCCGCCTTATGATATGGGAACTTGGGCGAGAGCTCTGCTGGAACATGACTATGATGACGACAATGAATATGTCAGCGATTCCTATAATATGTCTTTCAAGGATGTTAAAAAGAGCCTGTCTCCCAAATCCATGAAAAGGTGTGTACTCGTCTTTCTGTGTAATGGACCCAGAATTCCACTGAGTCTCAGTTGGTAAGGCTACAATGCAACCATGTTATAGCACAACTTCGCTTGGAATGCAATTGATTCCATTCATTGCTGCACATGCGCAAACCAGGAAGTGATGTTGGAAGGGACTTAAGGATCTGGAAGTTAGCTATTTTAGCTTTCTGCTTGAAGAAATGGCCAGCTTCAAGTTTATTGGGTCCCCAACAAAATCACTTCCTGCTTTGTGCATTCACAGAAAACAAGAAGTGACATTGGTGGTGAACTGATGACCAGAAGTTGGCCATTTTATCATTTAACTGGTGCATAGGAGATAAGTTTATCAGATGCACATTATGCACAGTAAAACCCACTGTCATACCGTTATATCACAGATTGGGATTTTATAGATATCTAAATACTGTGTTATAACAGGACTGTACTGTATGTTTTTAAAGTTTAAGCATTGTGGAAATTTCTTAAGTTTGCTCTTAATTTGAAAGATCATTTTCCACAACTCTTAAAAAGAACTGACTTAAAGAACTTAAGACTGAAATTTAAGAATTTTACACAATTCTGCGTGATAGGAAGCTTGCGAAGTAAAAAAAACTCTGCAGTACTCATTCTGTTTCATTTGGTAAATGTAATGAAGGAGCTGATGTGTGCTGTGTTCACTATTTAGCTAATTCCTTAATGGTAATGGTATCCTCCTGGGAGAGAAGATATACAAAATCTCTTTGGCTCCTTGGAGCGGCTCCAGGGTGACATGCCTTTGCTACAGAATGTCTCTCGTCTGGTTCCTCATTCAGATGGGCCCACAATACTCTTGGGCACAGCTGATGACAGACCAGCCAGCCGAGCTCATTGGCAGGACATGGAGAGGCAAACCAATCATTGGAGACAGGGATTCTTCCTACTAAACCCCCTGTTAACCTGCAAACCAAAACCCTGATGGTTAGGGTCGTCCTAAGTGAACAATCAGTGGGAAACTTTCCAGACAGTGCTATCAATGGCAAGCTGTGCGGTTTTAGCCAGATAAACTCCAGCAGTACCCCACGTACACTCTGGGATCCCCAAGCCTTGACCCTCGGCAGCCTGCACTTAAGATATTTTTGGAATTTAGGTACGCAAGATGCATCCCTCCTGAGAGAGTGTGAATTCCATTCCAGACACGGGTATTTTTCCATGTGTAGATGGCATAATGGAGAAATCTCAGTCTGAATTGCATTGTGTTGGGTTTCCACCTGTGTTAGGTGCCTAACATCAAAACAAAAATAGTAGATGAAATATTCTATTTATAATTCAATCCAGCATTTTCTGTTGAAGTACAAGTTAGTAATATTAGTACTACAAAAATGTTTCTAGTTTTCAGATACTTGTAACATGTTTCAGTATGAATCAGCTTCCACAGATGTTTTTTACAGTCTCTACACTTGACAATCATTACTAAAAAGCACTTTGAGATGTTATAACTTAATTAAGCAGTATAAAAATGCTAATTCTGCCTTTTAAAAGACCGGTAATTATTTCATATCCAGCTTTTTTTTTCTTGTTGGCCTTGTCTCCCTTAGTACCTTCAAAATGTGACAAAGATGGATACAAATTTGCTGCTGGTTTCCTGTAACAATGCTGAGCGAGGGAAAAATATCCATTAAAACTAGAACATTTTCTTCCCACATTGCATTTATTGTAAACATTACTCATTAATCATGCAAATATATAGTTGTATGCTGCTCGTAACCAACTCAGAGACTAGGTGTGTGGCATTTATATCATCAACACCTGTCCATTCCATTACTAATGTATTACAGTTTTTGGAGCTCTCAACTACAGTAGAACCCTCATTAATAGTTTTGGGTGGGGGAACTATAAAATTCAGCTTCCTGCCTTACAATAGACCACGATCATTTCCATATTACTGCTTATATGACCAGTGACATCATTGTGCAAGTGGGAAGCTGGCCGGTCCACACACTCACATCAAGCACAGGTCCACAGGGCACCCGCCTTATAAGTGAACCAGCATTAACATTAACAGCATTAACAGGGGAAACAGGGTTCTATTCTACCAGTGCTTCTTTCATAAACATAATCTGTCCCACTGTATAATACCAATTTGCCCTCACAACTGATTTTTCTCCCAATTACAAGTATCTGGCATTGACAACATTTAATGTATCTGACTTTCACCAAACACAAAACATAGAGTATTTGATCATTTTGATATGATCAACCTCATAGCTCTCCTCTGCACTATCTCCATGACTTAGGTAGCTCACTTTTGTTCTTGCCAAGCTTTACTGTATGCAATAAATATTATAATAATAAGCCTTGTATTTAATATAACACTTCATTATGTTGACAAATATCTCTAAAGGATGTACTGTAAAGTAATAATAATAAACAAAAGCAGAAGTCACTGGGAACACTCAGCAGGTCAGGCAGCATCTATGGAGAAAGGAAAGTGAGTCAACGTTTCGGGTCCACAACCCTTTGTCAGAATTCAGTTAATTTCAGATTTCCAGGATCTACACTATTTTGTGTTTGATAATAATCCTTGCATTTGATATAGCGCCTTATTACTTCTTCGAGAAACTCAAAGCGCTTCACAGAATATACTGTAAAGTGTAGTGACTTTACCTATAGGCATATTCTGTAGCCAATTGGCACACAGCAAGTCCCATGAACAGGCATTAAATGCATGACCATTTTTTATTGGGAGGAATGTTGTTAGGACAGATTTCTTTCTCTTTTTGAATAGTGTCATGGAATCTTTAACAGGCAGACAAGGTCTTAATTTAACATTTAAGCCAAATGACGCAGCTCCAACAATACAGCACTCCCCACCACCATACTGGAGATCAGCCAAGAGTATGAGCTCAAAGTCCTGATGTTGGGATTGAAGCAACAATTTACTGACTCAGATGCTACCAACTGAGCTCTGGAGATATGAACTCCACTGTACATGTCAACCCCAAGCCAGGTAAAGCATGGCTAGATATAGAATGAAGCTTCATCTGCTCTCCAGTATCTTCCAGTAACAAAGGAACTGAGTTTTGTATTTGTTCATGTTAGCAACAATGTAGACATGTAAAGATGCATTGTAAGTAAATAATGCAGACAGGGGAATGACCTGGCTTTTCGTTACTCTCACATATTAATGTGACTCTGAACGAAAAGATATATGAGGGCACTGCAGCCATTTTTATGAAAGGAGAGGGTGGGAGGGGGCAGAAATATGCAGCCACCTATCTAACTCAGTCAGTCGCTAACTGGGATTGAGTAAGAATAGAGATTCCAAGAATATGATAATTATTTGTTCACCTAGAAAATATATCAGCCAGTACACTTTTCAGTGAATTCTGTGAAGCACTTTGGGATACCCTCCCAATGTCAATGGTGCTATATCAACCACCAGGATTATTATTATTATCATCATCAGTGGTAATAGTTTTATATTAAATGGTGTCTTTTTTCATCGCATAACTATCCTTCCTTTAATGAGTATTATTAAAATCACACCACTACTGATGCATGATCCGATGTGAAAGGCGCTATACAAATGTAATTTTGTATTGTATTGTATGATGACTTATTAACAGAAAACAGCCAGGATAAGAAAATTATGTTCAGTTCGTTTAACTCGACTTTTAGGCCAACATTCATGAACTATTCTGACTCTTTTCAGTTCTCTCTCCTGTTTGGATGTTTAGCATTTATTCTCCTTTGAGTCACAAATCCATTCATGTGTTTCTTCTGAATGCTTCAGTACATTCATATTGACAGGCGAGATTCTATTCCATATGTTAAACCTCAGAAAGTGAAGCAGTTGGTAAATCAGTTGCCTAATACGTTCTGTGATTTAGATTTCTGGTTCTGCTCCTGTACCGTCCAGCTCTTATTTGCTTCTCAAAATATCCCGCTTTCTCATTCAGAACAGATTAAACTCCTTGACCATCTGTTTTCCTTGTACAGGCTTTTTACTATCCTTTTTCTTAATCTGATTCTGATAATTCATAGGATCATTTGAAATTTGTTTCCATCTGTTCAGTTTCAGAGGGCTTTTTACTGATGTTGCTCAGTGCTTTGTCTGACTCTTAAACTATGCAATAGGCTCTAAAATTATGATGTATGATGGTTATTTAAGCCTGAAATATTAACTTTTGGACAAAAGGCAACTGGTATTTTGATGGTACAAGAAGAATGAAAAAGATTGATGGGGAAAAGTTCTACCTGGAACTCGGACTCTATTTTGAAGTAAATTTTCTGTAGATATTAAAATAAATTATGAGAAATAAATGGCTTCAAAATTAAAGATGTATTAAGAATTCACCAAGGTGTGGACAGTTTGAAATGCTATGCTATTAGAGTTACTCTAAACCCAGGGGGAATTTCTCCCCATAAAAGTGTTAGTAGATAGAAATTGTACATATTGTTTTAAAACATAAGCTTGCAATGCATTGATATTAGTAACAGAAGTCAAAGGAATGCAGAATCACAATCAAGTACACACCTCATCCTTTCTTGACTCAAAATATTGGGATAGAAATTCTGTATGAAGTCTAGATTTACTCTGTTTTCTTAGCATTGCACAGCATCCAGGGCCTTGTGATGTCCTCCTGATGTGAAAGGCTCTATACAAATGTAATTTTGTATTGCATCCAGAATTTGGCAAATTGTTAAATTCTGTCCTAATTTTGAAGTTGGTTTCCTGTTGTTCTTACAAACATAAACAGTCATCAGCTTTGCTTAGTTGTTAGCATTCTCACCTCTGAGTCAGGCAGTTGTGGGTTCAAGGCCCATGTCGGAACTTGGAGCTCACACAGTGAAAGCTGAAACTCCAATGCAGTGCTGAGATGTTAAACCGAAGTCCTGTCATTCAAAATCCAATGGCACTATTTGAAAGCAAAAGGAGTTTCCAGGGCAACAATGATTAGATTAATTAATTAATCATTCATTTCATGTCGGTTTATGGGTCATTGCTGTGCTCAAATCTGCTGTGTTCACCTACACATGCAGTCACTTTATAGTAAATCCTGGGAAGCGCTTTGAGACATTTCAATGATGTGATAAGGCTCTACAATGTGTTATAAATGGGCTACAATAATAATAATCAAAAAAGATTATTAGTACAATCTTACAACTTGCAGAAAACCAGTTTCAAAATTGGTATTTGTATTTGTAAGATTCTATTGAAGAATTTGTTTAATTCTGGATGGTTTAAAATGCTAAGAAAATTGAAAAAGTATAGACCCAGGTGGAATTTTTACCCCTTTATTTCTTTGATTTTCAATGCAGGTCCCAATCAGTCGTTGAACCTGGAGTGTTGAAACACATAGAGAAAGATGACGAGAATACTCAGCCGTTGCTTTCTCTGGATTGACAGCTCCCAGACGGCACATTCATCATGAAAAAGAAGAGAAGGCCAGAGTGCTTACTGCTCTAATGTAAGCTATGATGGTGACATGTAACTTTGTATGAACATTGCAAACTAGAACTAGGCTGTAATATTTGCAAATCCATCCTTGCCTGCCTGTTTGGATGGTAACCGTCAGTGAATGATGTCTTTACTCAGCAAGTGGAAGTGCCAACTTTATTGTAAATACATTTTCTTATCATTGCTGGAAAATGTTCCGCATCCACAGGATTAGCGAGAAACCAATGTAAAATAATAGTGGAAATATTTTCTGAGCCAGCGTGTTTAAATGTAGTGAAATCTGTACATAATGGGTAATGGTATCTGTTTAATATTTTCTTGTCATGAACAGCCCCTTTCCTTAATTAAGTGTTTGGGGAGAAAAGTAGCCTTTCCCCATGCAAAGGGTTAATCATGCAAACTTTTGTCAGTTTCGTTGTTTTATGCAGTGCTGTGATAATGTTAATTTCCCCACAGTTTTGTATGATAGAAAGGCTTATTTGGATACTTTTAGTGGCACGGTGATGTATTGGAATATTTGCAGAAGGCGAATGAGTCTCAATTCATATAAAAACACACACATCCTGCATAAGAAACCTAGTTATCAACCTAACCTACTAACCTAGAAACCAAAATGCAATGTTTCATAATAGGTTTGATGTGATAATAATGTCAAATCTATTATGAACATTGAATTTACATTACATTTGCGCTACTTTGTATTTATGCTACTTTGTAATTAGAATGGGCTTTCTTGGACACTTTTTAAAGCATCTGATCTGATCTGTGATTATTAATGCCGCAGGTAACGCTCTATCATCTCCTTTATTTTTAAAATATGGATTGAAAAGAACAATAAGAAAATAATACTTTCTGTGTTGTTTCCTTGCCTGGTGAATTGAAGTGAACATTCTAATGAAATTACTCAAACAAAGTCTAACCAGCAAGGGATTGAGCTTTTCTTTACAGTAAGAATCATATGGATCATTGATGTAAAAAGACAATGGAATTATATCCAACCACTTATAAGGGCAAATTTTGCAAAATGTCAATTAATATCTAAGTGTTCATAACTATCGTTGCTGAATTCAGTGACCATCTTATATTTCGCATATGGATTGGTCTCTTTGTGTGCTAAAGATTGTTTACCCTGCATCTGAAAACCAATGGTCATATCTGAGTACAGGGCTAGAGATTATTAGTTTAGTTAAAACGCCTCAAGTAGGTCTAAAAGTTACAACACTTTTTTTTGTGGAGGTTAGTGGATATAAAACAATCTCCCATCAACAGTGGATGCCAAATGATTTCTTCAAAAAAGAATAATAAAAAAAATCTTCAAAAAAGAATGAGTAACTATTTCCATATAGTATCAGAGATTACAGGGACAGTTGCAGACTAAGAAGAACAAATGTTCAAAGGGACACAATGAGGGCTTAATGGGGTTTATTTTGTAATTCAATTCTTTCTTATTCAAGGAACCAAAATGAGTCCTCTCAGGGTAGCTGATATAGTGCTAAGTGCTTAACTGTCATTGGAGAACCTAACTCAGAAATAATGAAAATTTAAATTGGATATTTGGATCTAAACTGTCCACAAGAAGGGTACAAATAAAAAAAGGCCCTTTATGTTCTGCTCTGTGGTTTGGCTAGCCTGTAGTATTTAGTTTTGACATCTTTACAAACAATTTATCTTACATTGTACAAACGCTTATGGTGTGCCATTGTGATAATGCTTTAGCTCTTCCTGATAGAACCAGTGACATGTGTTAATTTGCCTAGATGGGTAATCCAATAGCAGACATCTTTCTCTATCCTTTGGTTTATTTTAAAGTACAAAGGAGTAACGGTTAAAGTTGACCTGTTGAGTATATATACTTTTATATGTCTTCCATCATTTTTGACTTGTTTATGTGCCATCTACAGTTTGGGTGACATGAACTGTAGCCCATACAGTGCAAAAGTGTAGCAGAAGTTTTATCAAAACAACAAATGGGTTAGGGAACATTTAAGATTGAACTTTTTGTGCACAGATATGACGTTCAATTTCATTATTGAGCTTTGGTCTACAGTATTGTTTAAATATTATAAATAAAATGTACAAAATGGGATTATGTTGTTATTGTTTGATAGTTTGTGATAGTTTGATTGATTAAGTATTATTTGCACAATTATTGCCTGTGTGGCATCACCCAATTAGTCAGTCTTCATGATGGTAAGGGAGGAAGTTATTTCTCTTACAACACATCATTATGAAGTCCAGTTAAAGAATCCAGTTAAAGCCATGTAAAGAGGACATGCTATGTTTTCTCTCATAGTAATTCTAGTTTGTGGTGTCAATTTGCAAGGTTGCAAATTGTATTGTGTTCTACATCAAAGGATTAATATATTTCTTATGTATTACCAGTTACTGTATTTGTGAATGCCTGTCTGTTGCATTGGAGGTGTTACCTTTCCTACAATTCCCAGTGCAACATCTGAAGTGAACCAGGTTAATGGAAATCCAGTTGAATGAAAAAGTTCATTTTTTTCCATAAAAATATTTAACTCATTTTAGTACTATTAAAGTTGGGGCACCCTGATGATTTAATAGATAGATCTACAACTTGCAGACCAGGAGCACACTGGTTTGAATCCAGGTAAATGCTGTGTTTGCTGATCTTGTTAAAACAGGCTAAAATGACCCTGGCCTTCCCACAGGGTTAGGGAAGGGCAGGCCAGTCAGACTCACTGCCCCTGATCCCTCTCCAATACCCTCTGCTTGTTGTGTTAGTGTACGTGGCATGGCAGGTGGGGAGAAGTCAGGCTTAGCTTACACCTTCTGCACTGTGTGATCTGCTGGCACTCATTGCCAGTGAACATGAACAATGGCCCCTTGGGTAGAGTATTGCAAAAGACTAGATCAACTGGTTTTGCACACAACAAGAGAAGACCTGGATTAGAGAGAGAGTGGGGAGAAAATTTGAAAAAATAAATGAACACATTAGATTATTAAATAGAAAACAATTTATTTGTGGTATTTCTAACAGGATTCCTTCATAGGTAGTTAAATGAAGTGGAAGATTGTCATGATGCCTTGGGGGAATTTCCTTAATAAAGAATTATGTTAAGTAATACTAAAAATTAGATGCATTGTGCTTTTGACTCCATCAATTTATTTATTCAGAAATAGAAATAGTTTTACTTAAAAAAAACGGTTGCATAGGGTCATAATGCTGCAGGCATTACTATTTATTTTGTCTCCAGTAAAATTAATCCTGTAACCATAGTATGTCTGGGATAAAATTACGCAGTGATTTTCTATCCTGTTTGTGCCATGCTCAGCCACTGTACTGATGGTGCTTTTACACCCAGACATATTGTTTGCTTTATTGATATTTGCTGGTTAATGTTGAGCAGTGTAATGTGCCATACTTGAAAGTAATTTGCAAATTTGTCTTTCGGCATTAACAGATACAGAAATAGATTTTTATCAGACTTTTCTTGAAAAAGGGACTGCACTTTACTGTGCTTGGAACATAGCAACAAAAAGCTAGTCAGCCCATTGAGGCTGTTATGGCAGTTTATTGGATTATGGCAGATCTTTTAATCCCATTTGTGACGTTATACAAAATGTACTATAAAAAGAGAAATCTGCACTCTTATCACAGTTTCTCAATTGCCTCGAGTTGCCGGGGCCATTAATTCAAAAGTGCTTCTTGTAGGCCTTGTGTGTAGACCCATCCCCTATACAGGAACAGGACAAAGCTTTAGAAAAAACATTCCCATGAGTTCATGAATTCACTGGCAATTTGGACTTCATCACAGCAAATGAGGGAAAGCTCTTTACTAAATGATTGTTTTAAGCCATCCCCTAACCAGCTGCTTTGAAGCGCAATGCAAGGTCAAAACTAGGTTTACAGATATCCCACTTCATAACAGTTAAGATAACAGGGCAATTCAGTGGACTATACTTCCTCTTTAAAGATAAATATTTAACTCCTTTTGGAAACTCCTGTTAAACAAGTCATCGAAACAGATCTCACCAGGTCAAGAATTTCCATCTACTTCTATGATTTTTACGTTTACACTGGCTCAAAAACATAGAAACTATTTAGTACAATTATTTGGCCCCAACAGTTCCTTAAAGCAAATGACTCGGGTGAGAAATTATTCAAGTTGCTATATGGAGTGATCTTAGTGATGTGCCTTAAAAGCATATCACCACTGTTATCATAGTCCCTGCAAATCATGATACAAGCAGTCTCTCTTCCAAAGTTTGGTTGCTAAATGCTAATTCCAAACCTGTAACAGGCACAAAACTATTATTTTCAGGTCCACTGGAAAATCAACCTCCAAATTAATAAGTGAAGTAAATGACCAATAAATTGGGAGATTATTGGCCAGGAGAAACTCTCCTCTCAACTAGCATCATAAGATCTTTAATGTCCACCTGAACAGACTCACAGTACCACTGAAAATGCAGCATTCCCCTGACATTGCAGCCACTCCACCAATATTGTCATCACAGACTATGAGCTCAAATTCTCATGGGGTGGGGGGTTTCAATCCACAACCTTCTGAGTCAGAGGCAAGAGTGATATCAGCTGAGAGCCAGGCTGACACCCTTTATGACTTTATTTTAGGAACACGGGACATTTTAGTTTTTTGTTTTTTGATATTTTGTTTTTTAATGTTATTAAAGAACTGATTTTGTGATCTGCTCTCTAATAACATAAAAATATTTCATTCAACGTTCCCAGATGATCAGATTGCCTGAGAAGATTGAAAGAAGAATGAGGGAGTGATCCCAGTATTATTCACAGCCAATGAAAATTGACACTATCTCTAAGGAATTATTCCACCCCAAAAAAAATTGGAATTTATTTATTATCATTAGTCTGCATGTATATTTTTGAGTTTTATAAACATGAACACATTGAAAGAGACCATATAATTTCTTTAAGGTGCAGATCCACAACCACTCACATTCAGTAAAAGGTGGAACATGGCATAATAATAATAATAATCCTTGCATTTTATATAGCGCATTTCACGTCTTCTAGACGTCTCAAAGTGCTTCACAGAATATGCTGTAAAGTGAATTGACCGTATGTTTGTGGGCGAAATGCAGCATCCAATTATGCACAGCAGTGTCCCACAAACAGTCGTGGATTGAAAATGACCAATTTATTATTGTTTTGGAGGGATTATTATTAAGCGTGTGGAGTAAGGAAACTTGCCCAAGGTTTCGCCCTGCTTGGAATTGAACTCAGGTGTCTCGCTTGCAAGGCAAGTGCTC